CATCCACCTCTCAGTCGGCCCACCCCAGGGAAAGCACAGCTCTGCAAAGAGAGGATGAAGAGCTGTCACGCTTGCTTTGCTCTAACCATTGGACCGTACCCCTCACCCAGAGCCAGGAATAAACCCCATGGTTCCCCATGTCCAGCGCTCTGTTGCTGCCAAGAGAGCAGGTCCAAGCCCTTCTGGGGTTAGGAGCTCCCCAGCGGAGGGTAGCAGCAAGACCTTTTGCTTTAGCAGAAGACATCTGTGCCAGAGACCTGCAAGTCGAACCCTGCTGACAACCCATCTGGGCTCTCCGAATGATTGCGCATGATGGAATTTATTTTTCCTAGTTTTCCTTTTAATCGCTGGTTTATTTAACTCACCCGGTGAGAAAATAGCCTTAAAAAACAGGTTTTATACTTTAAAAACAACGTCCTGTGTCTATACTGGCAGGGCGCGCAACAAGGCACAGGTGTCCCGTTTGCCAGGCGCTTGTCATGCTTTGCCGACGGCTGACGTCAGGTGTGGGGTGGTTGGAGGGGCGAGGGGCATATCCTGGTGCCAAAGGGCTGGAGGTAGAGCCAGGCTGTCTGGAGAACGTGGCACAACGCTTATTGCTCCTGCAAACCATCAACGAGCTTTCCTGACCAGGAGCCCTCCTGGGGCATGCTGGCAGGGGGTGGAGGCATGTCACAAAGGTGGGATCAACAGATGCTGCTGTGGGATTTAAGGGTGGGACCCACCACGGCATGGGGGAGAGGGGTGCATGTACCGTCATTATAATTCATATTGTAGCAGGCCGTGGGAACGCAAGTCAGGAACCAGGGCCGTACAGAAGATAGCCCCTGCCTCGGGGAGTTTACACAGTGAAGGGGATTGCAAGTGATGTTGAGAGAGATGGCTCGCTCAGTCGGCATCTGGATTGGCGCAACCTCTAGAAAGCTTGTGATGCCAGGGTCTTGGCTCAGGCAGTGGCAGGGCATTGAAAAGGGGCTCTTTGGGTTGCTCGATGGGAGTAAGGGAGACAGAAATGGATGCTGAATGGGGAAGTGCACCTCGCTCTGTCTGAATCCCAACCCCCCCTTTCTCCCTCGCCTGCATGACTTTTGCTTTCGTTCCCTCCCCAGAGCCGAATAGAAAGCCGGAGAGAGGTGACCGAACGTCATGTCGCTGGCACCCGCCAGCCTGCTGAAAGTTTTATTACAGAGATAATAAAGTTCAGGTAGAAATTGTGCACAGCTGGCAGGAACTGGACTGCAGAGGAAGATGCAAATAAGTTTTTCCCTGCTTACCCAGAATTTCCTCTGAGCAAGAAAACCTCCCTAGCTCCTTGGAGAGTAATTTCCAAGAATTCATTTCTGTGCTTCATGCTTGTTTTCCCTTTTATCCAGTTAAAGACACATAATTGAATGAACCCAGTTCTGACATTAACTCTTTGTACCACACTCAAGGCAGACCTGTTAGGCTGGAGCCTGGAGGCAGAGGCGTGAGTGGGGAATGCCATAGGCTGGCCCCTTGTTTCCTCCACTCTTGTGCTGGGGGAGCAGGGCCACAAAAGTGACCCTTGCTATAACTAAACACAGCCTTGGCAGCTGAGGCTCCCCAGGATGTGGCATGCTTTGCTCATGTCCCCATGCCAAGAGCTCCTGGGAGCTCAATTTCCAGTGGGGCGTTCCCATATTTAGCCCCCCCCGGGGCTAATTCTGCAGCTCTCTGGCCCTTTGGGCTCTTGAAGCAGTGGCAGAGGGCAAGGGCAGGGCCCATCTTCCTGATGCCTCTCAGACTCTGGTGATACAACTGCGTGTCTGGGAACTAAAGAGCTTTGCAGACTGACCTGGCACCTCTGCTGCAGAAAGTCTCCTGGAAGCCCCGGCGGAGGATGGACCAGGCCCCAGCTCACAACAGAGCGCAAGCTGTGCCTCCAGCTGCAGCGTGATGCACGCTCCCCGCTTCACGCGCAACATACAGCAGCAGCTGCCCGCACACGGCTTGGGGCTCCGAAATGGGGCATATAGAGCAGGGCACCTCTTCCCCCTGTGCCCTGCACGGTGCAAGCCCTAACGCAGTGTTAGCGCCAGCCTGCATCCCCATCTTCAATCTCCTCCTGTTGGAAATTCCTCTGCACCGTGGGGCTCTAGTGCGTGCCCTGGACAGTGTCCATCTCCACCAGGAATAGCTGCTGTCCAGCAGCTCCACTTGATGGAGCGGTCTATTTTTAACCCCTTCGCACATGGGGAACCCAGCAGCTGCTCTGCTCTGCTGCCTGGGGCAGGAGGGCACCCTTCTGTACAGGCCAGGGGCTCACAGGAGCGATCACGCTTCAGCGGGGACACCTCTGCGGTGCTTGACACGAGGCTGCGCGGAGGTGGTTGATTCGCCCGTGGCCCCGGTCTGTTGATTACACACAGCCCCGATCAATTAGCCGTGGCAGCAGCTGCACTTTGTGTTCATGGCCGTGCACAGGCAGAGGAGCAGAGAGAGGCATCTATCGGCAGATGCGGTGTGTGCACTATCCGTGGGCACGTGCAGGCACACATTTTGTCCAGGGCCTGCCTTTTGCTCTCTCTCTCCCTCTCTCTCACACACACACCCTCGGCATAATGGGGTGTGTGTGATCCCAGACCGTACCTCTGTTTGAGAGCCTAGATACAGTGTCTATGAATGAGAGAGAGCACAAATGCCCAAACACACACACACACTCACTCACAGAGTTCAGGACCTCTCCTCTCACCCACACACCATGACCAGCATCTCACCTACCCCCTACACACACACAGTCTCTGCTTGGGCATTTGGGGTGTCTCACTCACAGACACTGGATCTAGGCTCTCAAACAGATGTACGGTGTCTGGGACCGCCCCCCCCCCTTCTCTCTCCCTCTCTCACACACGTGTTTAGGATCTCTCCTCTCTCACCCACGCACTGTGACCAGCATCTCAGCCACCCCTTGCACACACTCACACACTCTCACACCGCCACATCCCAGCGCGCTGCAGGGAACGGCTCCGTAGTTCTTCCCATTATCTCCGCAGTGGCCTCTCCTGCTTGCAGCCCTTTGAAAAATCATGTGGCCGAGCATGAGTGGCTGGGCCAGCATTTGGCAGGAGACACGCAGCAGACTCCGGCGCTGGGGCTGCGATGACAGTGCACATGCTCAATCTTGTCTCCTCTCACATGGAATGGATGTGACACAATTAAACCATCTCATTAGACTGTATTATTTACTTAAAAGGAAATCTTGTGCCGGACGCTGAGACCTGGCAGCTCAGACTCTCACACATCATTATGTTCTCCCCGCAGCTTTGAAGTCGGAGAGTTAGAGCAGCCCTCTTCCCCCTCGGAGGCTCCTGCCTGCCTGGATGGAGACAATGGAAGGAGCGTTTAGAGAAAGGCTTGATGTGCAATGTAGCCCATGTCTATTCTTAGCCCAAGTCCTTAACCTAGAGAACTTTTCCCAACACTGTCATCACACAAGAGCCAGGCGCGGGCTGGTGGGTGGCAGGCCCAGCGTGTCACTGTTGCTGGGGTTTTGTGACTGGTTTCCAGAGCAGCAGGGACCACGCTGGAGACACAGGCCCTTTGCTTTCTGAGGGCATGGGTCGGAGTTTGCAATGCCCAGCTAGAGCCCTAAGCAAGCTGTGCACAATACCAACACCTGATTAGCCATGATTCAGCCCCTCTCCCCCTTACTGAGCAAGTATTATTGCTTCTTTGACCCCCAAGTGAAACTCTGGAGTCTTGTTGGTTGTTCCACTTTGGAAGAGACATCGGTGGTGGAGTCGGGGTGGAGGGGGTGGTCTTTCCTGCAGCATTTCCCCAGCCCTGTGCATCTCCCCCCGCTATAATGAAGTCGGGCACTCTTGCACCCACACCGCGTCAGCTGCTGCATCCTTTGCTGCCGCCTGTCTGTCCATTCCCCCTGCTGCTGATCTGCCCCCCGTTCCCCTCGCTGCTGGCAGTCGGTGACAGGGGCAATTGGTGGCAGCTGCTGAAGTAGGGGGAGGCAAGAGCACCTGAAGTTGGGGGCACGGCGGCGATTCACCCACCCACAACCTTTCATGTCTCCCGGGGGGGTTACACCCCACGGTTCGGGGAAGCAATGCACGCAATCCCACTTCTCTCAGCACGGCAGGAATGAAGCAGCAGAGACGGCAGCGCTGCTCTCGGCTCCAAGCCCCTCTCCAGTCAGCCCTTGTCTCGCTCGCTCGCTCTGCTCTCCTCAGAGCTCAGCTCCTCGTGCTTGTTCCGACTGTCCTTGGCTTTTCCTGCCCCTCATTCTCCTCTAGTCTTTTCTGCCTGTCTCAGAGGTAGGACCCTTTCTCCACCACGTGCATCTCACAGGCGCGCAGCCCCTGACAACAAGTCCCAGCCAGGCCCTTCAACTCTCACGTGCCTTGCACGTGCCTTTTGCTTGGACAGCATCACATTCTGCCTTTGGGATGGAGACTTGAGCTAGCTAGCTCTATAAAGGGGCTTAACCAGGTCTTGCAGATGAAGAGCAGGGGTTTCCCCCAACCCAGAGCAATCAGATGCTTGTGGATGCTCTGAGTGCCGACCCAACAGGGCTTTCCTGGACCAAACAGCGCCAGTTGGTTTTTGACACTATGGGCCCTTCCCGGCAAGCAGCCCCTTCCCATTTGCATCAGGGAACTGAAGGGGCACAGACCATTGCCTCCCCCAAGCCAAGGGGCAGGGGCACAAACCACACACTGGGCTGCACAGGGCAAACCCAGCCCTTTGATCCCCAGGCAGTTGGAAGCCGGCGTTGATGTCAAAGCACGGGGGGAAAAGGCACTTGATGAGGAGTGTGGATGACCAGCGGGCAAGTCCTCAGGGCTTCCAGGAACAGTGACATGCCTTGCTAATTAAAAGCACCAGCTCCATGGTCAGTGCAGCAAGCATTCAAGAACCTGGGGCTCCTCTGAGGAGCTGCCTGGAGCTCAGGTGTTGGGAGCTTGCAGAACAATTATGCTGATTCATACTGCCAGGTGGATCTTGTTAGCTCAAACCAGGATATTGCAAAGATTGGCCACTTTCTTGGCTATTCCCTGAGGCTGGGGGGGAGAGAGGCTGCAGAGCTTGGTATGTACTTTTTGCTGGTGATGTTTTGTGTTTTCAGTAAGGCTGAGTGGTGGGAAGAGGGCAGGTGAGGTTGGATGCTTGTGCACTGTCTAGAGCCTGCCCTTGGCACAGTAAATCCTACCAGCCTCATTGGATGTGCTTGATACCACTGCTGCCCTTCCTTCTGCAGCCCTACCTACTAGGGTGGGTGTGTGCAAGACCGGCCTTGCATTGTTCTCTTGTTTGGCCTGGCACACGGGTTGTCTCCCAAGGCTGGAGCAGAGCTTGGTGTGTGCTTTACTGCCTGTTGCAACTTGGGCCCAGCTTGTCCAAAAGCTTGCTTAAAGCTATCCAAACCACGCAGTTGATCTGGAGCCTGCATAAATCCTTGCCCCTCAGATTTTCTGGACCGTCATGCCTATAACATCGTTCCGGTGCTCCCTAGACAATGCTTCTTTGCTCTGGTCTTTGCCCTGCCTAGCCATTCCCCATAAGCTCCTGTGCAAGCATAAGCAGTCGGCTGATGGAGCAGGCTTATACCCAGAGGAGGCCCCTGTGGGGGGGTCTACATTTCTAGCTAGCCCCCTAGCAGGTACTCTGGAGGTTTCTGCCACTTGCTGCAGATGCTGTTGGTCATTACATACATGACCATGGCACCGCAGCCTTGATTGATTGGGGTCCCCTTTGTAGTACGCTGGGGCAGATTAGGGCCTCTGAATAGCTTCCAGCTCCCATCGGCGGGAAATGAATCAAACAGTGACGGGAAACTGAGGCACAGTGGGGAGGGCGCTTGCCCAGAGTCACGGAGCAGAGCCAAGATGTCACTCAAGGTTTCTCTCCTCTTCTGGGCTTTCTGCAAGCACGGCTGGGATCTCTGGGTGACGCGCTGTACTATGCATGGCAGATCCAGCAGGTTCTCTGGATGAACTCCCCCGGCCACAAAGATTGCCACCAGGTTTTCTGAAACAACTCCCAACCTGATGGAGCATTCTCATCATGTCTCGGGTTTCCGCCAGCCACTGATTCTCAGCTGCTGCTGCTGCCAAATGTTTGGGGAGAGGAGCCAAGTCAGGCAGTGGGGAGATAAATCTAGAGTCTCTTTGGCTGCTCTGGGACTTTGCTCTTGATTAATGGGACTCGGCGTTTCTTCTCGCATTGTGCTTCTTCCTGAGTGCTGGGGTCTCTGGGTTTGCAGCCCCGATGCTGCGCTGCTTTTCACTGTATGCCTTGGATGTGGTTTCAGCATTGGGAAGGTGTGTGTGTTTGGACTGGTGCTTGCGAATGTAGGGGTAGGTGTTAATGATTAATCAATGTGCAGTCGAGTCTATGGCTGTATGGTGCCATTGCGCTCCCTTTTAATTGAAAAAGTAAGAGTTTTTCTTGTAGGATGCTGTTAGCTTTGCTCGCAAGGTGCCTTTATTTCAAGATTTAAAAAATAAAGCTTAGGCTCCAATTAGTCTAGTAAAAATAAATGCAAAGTCAGTTGGGGGGCAAGATCCTAACAGTTCAAACTGTGGGGAAGTAAGTTATTTTTCATTTAGCCCCGGAGTGCCTAAACTTCCCACAAGCTTTATACAATACCAAATACAGTGGCTACCCAGTAGGAAACCCAGGGGGAGGTGATGCACGCACACAGATGTGAATGGCTTTACCCTTCCTATATTCTAGCAGAAATCTTTGCACGTGAGAATCAATGATATGTGTTCCCTAAGTAGCCTTAACTCCTCCCAAAATGGTTACCCAGAAACCTAGTAGTTAAAAACCATTTTAAAAGACTTGGCTTCCAGCATTAAAGCACTGATATATCCACAGTAACCAAGTGGTTTGTATCAGGCTATAAAACCTACCCTTCAAGGTGCATTACACAAGTGTTTTCTAACAGCCAAATGTTAATGTTTTAACTATTAAATTACAGCAAGAACCCTATTTTGTATTTAACCATGATCCCTCTACATAACTAAGACACATCTTCCTACAGAACTTCCTGTATTATGCCAAGTGTGTAATTTCTAAAATAACACATTGTGCTTGCATTAATTATTGTACTTATATAAGTGACTTCCTGAACCATATCATAGTTCTTAGACACATTTTTGAACAACTGTAATATGGTGCCAGGAAAAAAAGAAAAAAGAAGGGTTAGAGCTAAGATTGTTATTGGAAGGTTTTACTTTGGTTTTTGTAAGTCTGGATTTGCGCTAGAAAATATATGAACTGTAAGGGAATTTGGGTCTTTGTGTGGATTATGTTCACTTCTCGTTCCCATGCTTAAATGGTTTGGGGGGTGGGGAGGGGAAGGGGGTTAAATTCTCTTGGAAATAGTCATTGCATTTTTTTCTGATGTTTGTATAACTTCCTCTTGTCACCTTGAGCTGAAGTTAATTATGCTTTTCTCTAGGAGTGTCCTTGATATATATAGATATAGATATAGATATAGATATAGATATATTTTAAAGGCATATTAAATGAGGCTACAGGAGGTCGGCACGAACTCCAGCAGGTGGAACATCTTGCTCGGATGGTTCCAGCTTTTCATCTGGGCCACCTTGCTCTTCCCCTCCTCAGATGCTGCCTGGTGTCTCTTGTGCGATGCCTCTCAGCAGACCCTGCGGCAGAGCTGGCCTTGGGGATGGGCACCGTGATCTGGGGGGTGCCAAACACATGCTCACATCACTGCTGTCCCGTCCCACCCCCTCAACCCTGCCCCACCCCAGGAAGGAGCAGCGGTGCCCAGCCCAGCCTGCCTACCACCCCCAACCGCTGTTCAGGAGAAGCTGAGCTGGGCACATACAAGTGGGTTGGCACTTGCTCCAGTCTGTCTGCCTTGCTCCTGCAAGGTCATGAGAGTGGTGATGGGAGGCATCCCTGGGGTGACTTACCGCACGATGTTCACGTGTGGAGCGTGTAGAGCTGCTCTTGGGAGAACCTAGAACAAGGTTGCAGATGCACCCTGAGGTGCACAGAAACTAGGATAGAGCTTAGGAGCTTGTGTGGCCCAGACCTTGGAGTGAGGCAGATCCAGGGTCCTGGATGCTTCTAGCTGGCAAAGACGGTAGGAGGGAGGAATGAGTCCTGCTCTGCTCTTGATCTCTCTAGTGCATAGCTTCCCAGCCCAGGCACTGCCCAAAATGGGTGTGCTGATGACCTAGGTGCATGACAGCCTGCTCCTCTCTCCCTTCCAGCTGGCATGCAGTGAGGCAAAGCAAAACTGAGGCACAGAGGTCATTTTGCTTTCCAGCTGCCATAATCCAGGCATGTGCGAAAGCAGAGCGTGGAGTGACACTGCTCCCTAGAAGCACTCCATGGGCCAGACCTGCTAGCGGTCTGTGCTCCACAGTGGCCTATAAAGCTCTCTGAATGAGCCAGCTGGAAGGGATATGGAGCGGGACCATCCCCCCTCTGCTACACGCATACTGTCTCCTAGAGATGCTCCTTCAAACTCTGCTCTCCTGGAGGAAAGCTTGAAAGTGGAGCTTTCCTCTCCCCTGAAGGACCTGCTGCTATCTGGCCATTCCCTACTTCCCTGGCCCGTGTGGGGTACCACTGCTGCCACCCTGCAGTAGCAGCCACAGCTGGAGATGCAGAAGTTACCTCCTTCCTCTCCCTGCTCAGCACAATTCATGGCTCGGTACTCGGGCGCCATGCCGCTACAGACACCTGGGCCTTGCTGTGTGCTGCTGTGCAGCGTTTGGCTCGATCACATGCTGCGCACGCTGTGGTTCGCTGGATGACCTCCTCGGGGCTGGAAGCAGGGTGAGGTGAGGACGCCTGGTGGGGTTACAGGAGTGTGTCCAGGAGCCGGGTTGGGCGGGTGCGTGCATGCAGGGGATGAGCAGCTCTTGAAACCTCAGGCAAGCTGTTTTAACCATTCGTCCTTTCCTACTAAATCACTCCTATTTTATTGCTCTCCTCTGGACGCTTTCTTGGAACGAGGGCCCAGAGCTGAGCTGGGGCAGGGAGGAGACTTCCCCAGAGCATCACAAAGGCAGACCACCCCCTCCCTGCTTTTCACTGATGTCTCTCGGTGGGTTTTGCCTCCTGGAGCTGCTGGAGAATTTTTTTGGCTGTCGTGCTGCATCTGAACGGGTTGATTCACTACCCTCTTCCCAGGTCTTGCCCTTCTAGGCAATGTGCAAGTATCAGGGGCTTCCCCTCGCCCCCTTCCAGCTTCATTTGTCCCAGTTCACGATTCACTTTTGTTCCTTCTTGCCTATATTTCTACCTCCCCTCAGCTCCTCTGCACTCTCCTCTCTTTGCTGGTATCTGTAACACCTCTCCATTTAATGTCCTCTGAACATTTAATTAATGTGCTGGTTGTTCTCTCGCTTTAGATAATTAATTGAAGGTGTTAGATAAAACCAGGCCTAATGTAGATTCTTGTAGCTCTGAGCAGCCGCTTCCAGCTCAATTTATTATTGTTACCTTTTGTTTATGATCCTTCAGCTGGTTTTCAGTCCATGTGACAAGGCTCATATCCAAACCAATTTGAATTAATTTTTCAAGTGAGATGTCATGAGACAGAATTGCTGCTAAAGGCTTTGCTAGAAATCAAGGCTTATTATGATCTATTCAACTCCAGGCTCTCAATCTACTAATTCTGTTCCCTTAAATGTGGTCAGGTTTTATCCAGCATGATTAGTTTGCTATAAGCCAAGAGCTTGTGTAGGTGAGGAGCAGTCGGCATTGGAGGGGTACCAGCGGCCATAACATGTTAAGCGATGGTTTGATAAGATCTTGCAAGGCTTCGGGCTGGCTGGATTGTGCATGGGGAGCACCACAGAAACCCAGGCAGGGTGCCGCACACGAGGTGTTTGAGGTTCAATAGGAGGCTTCCTTTTTTCCCTTCTGGGTCAGACATTTCCCGACTGCTTTAGCACGGGTCGGGCCCAGCAATATCAGGATAGTTTTTCAGAGGTGTGGAAGCAGTGCCCTGCCTGTGTGTGGCTAATGTTATAGCAAGAGGCAACCTTTGCACTGGTCTCCTGCATGGATTGAACCCTTCTGCCTCCCCAAATTCCCAT